TCCACACAAGAAGCTCAGAGCCTACAACACATCCAGTCCAGGCTGACCGCTTCCTAACTCTGAGCCTATGTCTGCTTTCTTTCGACTTCCATCCACAAACTTCATGCTTCCATTAGTAACGGAAGTAATTCCTGAGACCCAACCCTCTCAGAATGAGAACTACCATCCATCTCCTTCCCATCCATCTCTTCTTCTGAATCAAACACATCAAATGGTATCAACTCCTCATGAAAGATAACATCTCGACTCCCTCAACATCCTGGCGACATGCCTCCATTGCCAATTTCCATGTGAATTCCCAAGTGGAGACACTAGTCTATCCTCTAAGCTGTTCAATACATAGAACTCCTCTTATGTGCAGGTACTACTTCTGTTATTGTAGCCTCAATTGTCTGTCTGTCTGTCTGTCTGTCTGTTTTGAGAGGGGGTGCATATCAATGATTTCACACATGCCACAATACAAATTCACATTTCCCCCTCATTTCCCACCAAAAAGAACAGACTAATACAATTATGATGTCACAGGCATAATTGTGAAATAGAAGTGTTTCGTGGCTCATCGCTCTTGAGGGATCCTTGATAGTCTATGAGCTAGCCAAGCGCTCAGGAGACTGAGGCAGGAGGATTGCGAGTTTGAGGTCAGCCTAGGCTACACAGTGAGACCTTGTCTCAAAAACCACAAAAATACACATTTTTATATGTTGCGCGCATCAGGGTTTTTTCAGCGACATCACCTAATGGAAGGAATCTGAGGCCCAGGGCAGGGAAAGGCATGGCTGAGCCCGCCCAGCAGAGGGTCAGCCCAGGGCGTGGCTGTCCAGGTGCCCTCGCCCATCTGCGTTTTCACTAGGCCTCTCCTTGGGACTTCTGGCAGGAGGAAAGGAGACAAACAGCTACAGTGAAAAGAATCACTTTAATACTCTTGCCTGAAACTCTAGATCTGAAATCAAGTGGAAGGAGGCAAACGTGAGGATTCACTAGACTGTGAGTCTTATGTTCAATGAAGCAATGACTGGGCAAAATCCTCCAAGGCTGGTAAAAGCCAGCAAAATCTCTCACTCAGTTCACACCAGTTTGCAGTAGAGCCAACAATTTATGGAATTAAGGATTCCCAGCAGCAAGCACGTGCCCTTAAAGGGAGAGAAATGAATGTGCAAACCCTGCGTTTGCTTTTTTTAGTGACTATATTTGGTTGTAATTGAACAGAAAATAACAGATGGGTATAAAAGTCTCATGTACTTCTTAACAAATGTAGGAATACTGCTGTGTTTATTATGCAATACTTTAGCAGCTTTTGTTAAACTAGCCTGCTTCTACCCTAACCAGCCAAAAATATTTTTATCTTCATCAAAATTTTACCCAGTTATTTATTAAGACTAACTTAAACCCTTGAGTCCAAACACTGTCCAGGTAATATAAATCATAAAATATGTTGGTGATTTTTAAGATTCTGTAATTCCTTTATTAGCACTCTTCACAGAAATTCTATCATTTAAATGCATATTGTAGGCTGGGGATATAGCTCAGTGGGCTGGAGGTGTAACTCTTCCCTGGCATGCATGAGCCTCTGGGTTCTATTCCCAGCACCACAAAAAAATGAAAAAAATAAAATAAAGCATTGTCTTTAAGCAACATAGCCACTGTACTCATTGCACAAAATATTTGTTGAACAAGTCTCTAAGGAAATGCCTTCAGAACCAGATCACAATGCTTGTAAGAAAATCACTTGAATTACTTGAAAGTCACACCTCATTTGTAACCACTCATGATATCATCGAGTTTGATCATCCACTCATTCATCAGGTCTGGTAATTACTTGGCTATTTCCAAAAATCAAATTCAAGCTCGAAGGAGAAATAATTACTCTTACTAAAGTAGTTTCTCAAAGACTCAGGCAATTCTTGGGCAGGCTCTTTTATGACACATGGAGGGACACAGACCTAGCAGAAGGGAGAAAAATCTGAGCCCAGCAGAGGCCTCACCAAGTCCACAGTGTGGTGAGGACCCAGGGCTGACTGGTGGTCCCAGTTAGAGCCCAAGAGCCACCCCAACCACTGGACAATCCTGGCATCAATGGTTTCAGGCTGACAGACCTACCTAAGGTTGCCTAGCCTTCTAGAGCTCCTTCCCTTCAAACCAGGGCCATGAGTACTGAGAGCAAAGGCCCTGGCCTCTGTCTGCCTAGGCTAAACCCCAGCTCTGAAACCTTCTAGCTATGTGAACTTGAGCTGTTCACCTGCATTCTTCTCTATGCTGTTGGATAAAGTCCATTGCTAATAATAGAGGCATAGGCTCTAAAGTCAGAAGTTCTTGGGTCCTGTCTCAGCTCCTCTACTTGGTAGCAGTTGGCCTTAGACCAGCTGATGCTATCGTTCCTTTTTCTTCATCTGAAGGCTGCAGTTACCACAATAACATCTTTTTCCAATTGTGCTTAACTGAGATGAGCTAAACTATATATTTGCATCACTGAGTTGCGGGGGCACTAGGGATTTCCGGGGCCTTTCACACTGTGCCACATCCCTTTTACTTTTTTTTCTTTGACAGAAACTTGCTAAGTTGCACACGCTGGGCTCTAACTTGAAATTCCCCTGCCTCAGCTTTCATGATGCTAGAACTTAATACCATTCTCAACACCCTAAAGTGCACCCTAACTGTTGGCTGTGATTATTGTTTGGATATCTGAGGAAATATGATAAATAAACCCCGGTTCCGATCCTCAAATTACTCAAAAGAACCCAGTGAAGTTGGAGTGACGGATCCAGACACAATGTTAAGCCCAACAGGCCGGGTAGCAGACAGCAGTATGTGCTTCTGTATGAAGAAAGGGAGGAGCTGTCCTGTCTGCTGTTGGGGGAGCAGGGCCAGGCAAAGGTGTCTGGCTGAGAAAGATACTCTTCACACTGCGTCTTGACGGAGTAGGAGCAGGATCTCCCACATGGCGGAAACAGCAAACCCCAAGTCACAGAGTTAAACCAGCAAGCTGCTCTAAGGAGGGGAAGCCGGGTGGTGGCTCTGAGCTGAAGTCAGAGGAGCGGGGCTAGCCCTGGGAGGCTATGGCTTATCCCGAGGAGCCCAGGTTTGGCCCTCAGCTTAGGAGCTTCCTAGGAATCTCGGGGAAAGTACTTGCCTGTTTTCAGTGTTTTTTTCTGTAAAAAGGGAGCAGGATTGCCCTTCTGCCATGTTACCAGGAATACTTCTCAAGTTAATGCTGTAAAGTGCCTAGCACCGTGGCCAGCACAAGTAAGTTGTTTAATGAATTTAGTAGTTAATTACCATCATCTGACCACAGGCAGCAAGACTATAAAAGGCAGAAAGCAGGACGGAGGGCTTGCATAAGCAGGCATAGCACAGAACCCCTGCTAGCAGCTGTCCAGGGCAAGGCCGGAAACCTGACCCCAGGGGGGAGGACAGGGGGTCCCAAAGTGAGGGGGTCAGGCAGATGCCCAAGGCTGAAACCTCAAAGAACAGCGTGGGGTCACATTCAAGGGATAATCCCTGCCACGCTGGCTCCTGCGCCACCCATCACGATGCCATGCCCCAGTAACCTGGGTCTGAAACTAATACCCCAAGTCATGATCTGCTTTTGACTGGGTTTATCTCTGGGAAGATGCTGGGCTAACACAGAGGGAGGAAACATCCAGGAAAGGTGATCTTTTAACCAATAACAGTATCTTGGGAAGTATCTACTTCCATGTACTGTTTCTTTTGGGATACCTAGTAAAAATTGCACTACTGTAACCTATCAACCTTTACTAAGATACAAACAAAAACTATAGTTATATAAGCACAAATAAGCTTTGTTTTTCTCCAGGAGTGCAATAAGTGGTTACGGGTCAGCTGAAGAACCTGGAGAAATCCCACTGCAATCTTTAACAATTAATGGGCTGGGGATATAGCTCAGTGGCACAGCCCCTGTCTGGCACATGTGAGGTCACAAGTCAATTCCCAGTACAAAAAAAAAAAAGAAAAAATTAAATAATACCATCTCTTGCTTTCATCACTGAGTTTTATAGAATATTTATTTGCCACGGAAAGAACTGAATTAGCCTGATGAGTACTTTCAGATGCATCAAGATGGTTATTTACAATTGATAAATGTCCTTTATAGTAAGCTGCTTGTGCAATTAATACTTAATCCAATCTTGCTTTGCTGTAATTTCTAAAAATTTGTCATCCAAAGTTGATAAGACTGTCATCAGCCTGGGTGTGCTTGGTGTTATACTGCCCTCATGTGGTAAACACAGAAAAATCCATCTTTAAGATTTTTTTCCTCTTTCTTGTTGAAGCTGTTTATCTGTGCTTTACATGTCCTTGTAAACTGCCTTAAATACCCCTCCCTCATGGTCATAGCTGCTGCATGGTGGTGTATATCTGTAATTCCAGCACTCTGGGAGGCAGAGGCAGAAGGATCACAAATTCAAACACAGCCTGGGCAATTTAACAAGACTTTGTCTCAAAAATACAGTACAAACAAAAAGTCTAGGGCCATAGCTCAGTGCAAAAGCCCAGGGTTCAATGCCCAGTACTGAAAAAAAAAAAAAAATACACACACACACACACTGCTGCACGGCCAGTCCTAACTGGAGGGTGCAGGGACAATGGAGTAGGGAACGAAGGCGGGGGCAGGAACCAATCCTCTTCCACAGCAATAAGGAAACTGTGGGCAACCTGGTATTTTCTGAACGTGAAGAGCCCGGCCAAAGGGGTGGGTGCGGAGCCACTAGATGGCTGCATCCTCCTTGGCTGTTGCACGGAGGCAGCCAAACATGCACATTTCTGTATCGCACTACTTACTGCAAATTTATTTGTTTTACACTTGGATTTTCCACGAAACTCTTAACTACAGAATTCCCTCAGATGTTATGAAATAGTGAGAAAAATATGCGTTTGAATTGCTACAAAACAGAAGCTGAGTATTCATTAGGTACTGCAAACATGAATAAAAATCATAAAAAACCCAATAGATATAAACAAAAGGAAAATGAAAACAACCACACGTTGAAAAGGCACATTTATTGTACAATCTATTTACAAAGGAAGGGAGTAAAAATGTATTGAGGACCAAAGGAAACGAATGTCAGCCATGTGTATTTATACAGCAAATGCAGGCAACACTTTTATAGCACTTAAGAGTCAAATTCTAAGACTATTACCTCGGGAATAAGTTTTAGAATGCTCAACCACATATGATTAAAACAGTGACTTAGGATAGAAAAATTATAATCTTCATTATAAATTATAATGAAAAATTATAATCTTATCCAATTTGAAAATCTCTAAGTTACTGGAGGCCAAATAAACCATTGAAAAGGTTTAAAAGATTCTTAAATTAGAAAGTCATAATTGCTCAAGAAAAATCACTGAAGTACATATTCAGCTTTCAGTGATACTAACACACATGGGCGGAATTCATACACCTGACCCTTTGCAGTAGCCAGTTAATTGCTGGATCTTCCAAAACCAGAAACCGGAATTCCTAAGAATCTCCCTCAAGCTGGCCAGATTTCTCCCAGCCCACAGCAGCATTCCATCTCACTTAATGGAAGATAGGATCCTTTGAAAGGCAGCGAAAGACAGGCCAGCATGTGTCTGCATCTCTCCTTCTAAGTGCAGACATGGCTTTTGTGACCTTGGCCAAAGACTTTTATGCTTATCAGTTCTCCACTTAGATCACTGTCCTTCTGCCTGTGAGCTGCGATGTCCAAACTGAAATAAAGCAAATGTTAGCACAGAAATTACTGGAACATAAAAACAGAATGGCAAGACTATATCAAGTGATCCCTTGAGATTGAATTCATTCAACAACCAACAGTGACCTGAGAGTGAGCTGTGTCACGCACTGAACTCAGAGCCGAGGACACAAAAGTAAGCAAGAGTGACCTCCCGACTGAGCTCCCCGTGAGCTGATTTGAGGCCCTGTGTCCAGCATGACACCAGGTGCTATAGTATCACTGAGAAAGAGTGTGTTCCACCTAAGCGAATTTCTCAGTAGGGGGTTTTCAGATATTCTAGCATTTTAATAAACCAACTTCTAGACTCTGCTTACTCCTCAAGAGGAGGGATTATGTGCACTGTGAGGTTCACTTTCCTTGTGTAGAAAACAAGTAATATTCTTTTCTCTTTTTCAGGATATTGCTATGAAGATCAGATAAGGTAAATAAGAAGTACTCTGCAAGTTATACATTAGAACTCAAATGTCAGAATTAAATGTTGATTTAAAAACACATTTTTTATGGTAAAGTTCTAAAGCAAGCTCCATACTGTTTTGCATACAGTTAAAGGAGTATCATTTTCTAAATCAACATACTAAACATCAGGTACAGAACACACACAACACACAACACTGAGCCTGTGCTCACTGGAATGGAACTGGGACCGTTTCTCCCGCTATGCTATGCTACATTTTTTGGCCATGTGCACTGCAGTTTTCCAGTCTCCACCTCTGCTGGTGTCTGTCACTCTGCAGGGCTACCCACTCGACTTTAGACACCCTCGCCCTTTTCTTTCTCTCATTCCCAAGGCTTATTCTTCTGTTCAACCTCAACTAAATTATGAGATGTGAAAAAAACCCTCCAAAATGTGTGTCCTTTTAACCACCCAGTAAGTGCTGCCATTAGAGGTACTATGACCCCAAAGAGAGGTAACATTCTATTCAGCTAAATAATCCCAAGCCTTTACATTTGACTGTGAGAAATACTGGAGTAGCCCCGTTTGATAGAGTTCGGTTGAATCTGTTATACATTCTTCCCTGGTCCTCTCAAAGTGTCAGACAACCAGTTTACACTGCAGAGATCAAGTTAGCACTCTCCAGGATGAACTAGTATAAGTTCATGACATGAATTTCTCAAATTAAGTGTTTTATTTCGTTTTCAGCTGACAACAAAACGATTACTATAGTATCAGCACTTTATACTACAGTCTGTATAATTACTTCAAGAGAACATGAATGTAAAATATCAGGAAAAGCACAACTGAGAAAAACTTAAAAGTTATTTATATCACCATAGCTCACCCTGAAAGTTTCTGGACTAGGAAATGGAGAAGACTCCCAAGATCTATTTTCTTTGTCAAAGGAATCATCTTCCTGAAATGCAAATTTCTGCCTAAGTGCCTGTGATATTACAGACACTGGATCCCAGTGTGAACTTTGTCTTTTCCTCTTATGAATAGGTCTACCACCAGGGGATCTGTTCAAAAAGAAACATGGAGTAAATTAAAACTCTGATGTAACTTTATCACCTTGTCAACAAGCACAGCCAGCATACAAGCATAATATAATTAGTCTTCAATAGATTTCTGCCATGAAATAAGGCATCTGACAGCCACAGTGGTTTCAGAAACAGAAAACCAAGAAACCTTGAGAGTTGGGGCTCAACCGGAATCTTGCTGACTTGGAAATCCTTGAACACTGCTATGCTGAAAAGCTTTATTTTTAATTTTCTGATTTTCCAGGGGGTAGAAAATTTCAAAGAAATATTTAAGAACTTCCAAAAGAACTAGGGATCATGAGAAGAAAACCGTAAGACTACTGTTTATTTATTCAGTTATTCATTCATTTGATCCTCACTGAATGCTTATTCATGGCACTGTTCAAATCAGCAAGCAATTTAAAACTTATAAATTATTTCTGAAAATTCTGTTTAATATTTTCAGACTACAGTTGACCATGGGTAACTAAAACCGCAGGAAATAAGCTGGTGGATAAAAGGAAATACAGTATTCCTAATATTCTACAATGGGGAGAAATACAATTACAAAAAATAACAAGAGATGTTTAAAAATTATGGAAATATAACAATAGAAAAAACAGCCCAAAAGCACTAAGAGTGATTTATCTCTGGGAAGGGTACTTAGGAGTGAGGACTAATAAGAAAGAAAATATCTTTGTCAGCTTTCATAAACATAAGTTTTTAAAAACATCATTCACACAATTTCAGTCTATTTCTCAAATTATAACAACGTACCGCTCAATAGCACGAAGTTTAACTTTATTCAGATCCTTCAGAACATCTAACATGTTTGGAACATCTTTATTTCTCCGGCTTTGTGAATGATGACTATAATTCACCTTACTAGCACCTGGGTGCTGCTTTTTCATTTCCATAGCTGGATGATCTGAGTCACAAACTGTAGATTCTGGTTGTAAAGGAAGAAAACATGAAGGCTGGAAAGGAGGAAACTGAGGCGGAAGTGGTGGTGGAGGAGGAGCAGGAGGCACTGAGCTTGGATTTGGTTCCACACATGGTTGAGCAGCCCCTGATGCTGAAATTTGTCTCACACCACTGGACACAGCATTCAAATCCAAGGAGCCTAAAAAAAAAAGGTTGTTTATTGAAAAAAACAGGCAAAATTCTAGCATCATATATAACACTAATGAGAACCAGAACAAAACAATTTCTATAATGCTTCTGCAATAGTGATATGCTAGCCAAGAAGGAGACATAATCCCATCTGCTTAATTGTTTTTCAAGTCAAAACTATAAATTAATCTAATTAGAAATTCTCAGACTTCTAGGAAGAGGGTGGAGTAGTAAACAGCAGAAAAAGAACCTGTCCGAGATTTGGCATCCTGACACTAGAATTTAGCAATATGAGGAAAAGGAGGAGGAGGAAAGTGAGTTCCTGGAACCCAGCAAGAATTGGAGTCCACGGGGAGTGAAGAGAGACTTCAACGAAGAAGGAGGTCAAGGCACTTTTTCTCTGAGCCTGGACTCACTGTATAAGAGGGGCAGCTTGAACCTGCAGATACATGGTGACTACTGGCTACCCCAAAGGCCTCCAGGAAGAAACACACCAGTGGAATGGAGCAGTGGACACAGCAGACTGCAGTGGCTGGTGAATTATTTGGGTTCAGACATCCCCCAGGAGAAGGCAACTGGCTGGTAGCCATCGTGGAGAGAGGCCAGCTGAGCTTGGAACACGGAGCAGCTGTGAGTGGTTCCCAGTGTCAGGGTGTGGCAGAACCCAGTTCAAGTTGACAAGAAGTCAAGGAACTGAGCTGAGGCCAGCACGAGGCAGTGTTGCAGGCTAACAAATCAGGTTCTAACCTCACAGCAAAAAAACAGCCTGAACTTTAATGGAACTATCGGTGGTGGATTGGTGGGATTATCTAATACCCCACCATAAACCTATGGCTGACTCACTGGGATTAATGAACACAGATCTGGACTCTGTTTGCTTACTCTGTCTACCAACAACAGAGACACGCCTTGGATTTTTTTCCTTATTTTCTTCTTTTCTTGGTTTTGTTTTTTTTTTTTTTCTTTTTTCTTGTTTCTTCTTGTTTTTAATGAGTGTGAACACTGATTCTAGCTTTTTTCCTTGTCATTGTTCTGTATTCTTGTTTTTATTTCTTCCTTCTCCCTCTCCCTGTCTTCTCCACCACTTTCCCAAAGTTTGTGAAAACTGTCTTCCAGCCTTGCTTCTAATCTCTTCCTGTTCTTCTATTTCTCTATTTTCCACTTAACTCCTTTTCAATTTTTTCCCCTGAGGGTAAAATCACCATACTGAGGACATACTTACTGTACACAATTTTTTGGTTTGTTTTAGGATTTTGTTACATAACCACCAATCCAGCTAACACAGGTGACAGTTTGTCATTTTCTATGCTGTGTTTGATGGTATTGTTTTTGTGGACTGTACTACTTTTGCCAAGGTGACATAATTGTTTTAATAAGTTGTTCTTCCCAGTACATTAAGACTGAGATTGCTTAAAGGTCATAAAAGATACTATAGGCCAGTACCAAAGAACCAGAAGTTAGGCCAAATAGGCAGTAACTTCTCATTCCCACTATACTACAGAGGTAAGATTTTGCAACAGATTCACAAAAGGCAGATACCTACACCTGGAAGACATACCCAAGAAGTCATTTCCTAGGGTTCTAAAGTCAAGCAATAAAGATAGTCACCATAAACAATTTATAAGCATCAACCAAGGAATTAAACTAAAAAAAAAAAAAATAGAAAATGAAAAAATGTGTCTTCCTTTAAGGAAGACACAACCCCAGAATTCCAGTTTATCAAAAGCAAAATCAGGGGGCATCGAGATGGAACAATACAAAACCACCCACTTCAACTCTATAAAGTGGTAACAGTGGAAGTAACAAAGAAGATGAATGAGGCACTAGAAAAACAGATCAAATCAGAAATAATTTCTCAGATAACTACAGAGATGGTAACCATAATGAAAGACATGGTTAGTGACTCTAGAACAGATACAGATAAAAAAAATAGAGGAGCTTAGGAAAATTATAGAAATCATGAATGCCCAACATAAGAAAGAAATGGAATCATGAAACACATTCAAACAGATATCCAGGAGATTAAAAATTCCATTGAAAGTATATGCAACAGAATGAACCAGTGTGGGGATACAATATCAGACATAGAGGACAGGATTGAAGTTAGTGATTGCAGAGAGATTTCTTAAAAATAGCAAGGGACCACAAAAAAAATCAATCCAATAGCTGCGAGATGATGCAAAGAAGACTGATCAGACTCAGTGAAAAAAGAGATAGTGCAAATGACACAAAAAAAATCTGTTCTGAGAAATAATGGCAGAACACTTCCCAAACAGAAAAAGAACAAGACACACAGTAAGTGAGGTATATAGAACTCCAAGTAGCCATACGCAAAACAAATTTACACCAAAGCATATAACAGTCAAGATTCCAGAAATTTAATACAAGAACAAGATATTAAAAACTGTTAGTAAAAAAAAAAAAAAAAAAAAAAATCACCTATAAAGAAAAGCCCATCAGAATCAGAGCAGACTTCTCAACACAAACCGTGAAGTCAAGGAGAGCTTGAAGTGAAGTATCCCAGTCCCTTATAGAAAATAACCTCCAACCCAGATTGATGTTCCCCTCAAAACGATCTTTAAAAATTTATGAAGAAATAAGATATTTCCATGACAAAGAACACTCTAAGAAATTCATGATCACCAAATCAGCATTCCAAAATATTCTGAAGGATATTCTAAAAACAGGTAACAAGGGCTATAACTCCATGAACTCCCAAGACAATAATCTACCAGGCAAGGTAAGGAAAAAAAAAAAAAAAAGACCAGAGGATCAATGGAACAGATTAGAAGATGCACAGACAATTTCAAACATACTCAGCTATCTTATCTTTGACAAAGGAACCAAACACCTTTATTGGAAGAAAGCCTCTTTTAATAAATGGTGCTGGAAAAACTAGTTTTCCACAAGCTCAACATTAAAACTAGATCCCTATCTTTCGCCAAGCAATAAAACTGAAATGGATAAAAGACCTAAATATTAAAATAGAAAGAAGAAATCTGCTGGAAGACAGAATAGGTAGAACGCTTAAAGACATTATTGTAGATAAAGATTTTATGAGCAAAACCTTTATCACACAGGAAATATCACAAAGAATCAACAACTGGGATCTCATCTCATTAAAAAGCTTTTGTGCACAAGAGAAACCACCAACAGACTGAAGAGACAACCCACTGAGTGGGAAAAAAAATTTGCCAGCTGCTCCTCAGACAAAGGACTAATATCTAGAATAAATAAAAACTCAAAAAATCAGACCTTCCAAATTTAAAGACCCAATCCAAAAATGGGCAACTGAAATGAACAGATACTTCTCAGAAAAAGAGGCAGAAATGGCAAATAAATATATGAAAAAATGTTCAACATCACTAATTATTTGAGTGACGCAAATTAAAACAATGCTGAGATTCCATCTCACTCCAGAAAGAATGGCTATCAAGAAATCAACTGATAATAAATGCTGGTGGGGCTCTGAGGTGGGGGAAAGAACCTTTTTCCACTGTTGGTGAGAGTGTAGACTGTGGAAATCAGTGTGGGAATTCTTCAAAATACTAAAACTAGAGGTTCCATTTGACCCAGTTATTCCCCTTCTTAGTAGCTTCCCAAAAGAACTGAAAGCATCATACCACAGTGATATACATGCATCCATGTTTATAGGGGCACTTATAGCTAAATCTTGGAAATAGCCCAAATGCCCATCAACTGATGAATGGATAAAGACAATGTGAGATTTTTTTATACAATGGAGTACTTACTCTGCCATCAAGAAGGATAAGCTTGAGACATTTATAGCTAAATGGATGCACCCTGAGACCATACACTTAAAGTGAAATAAAACTGGACACACATGTTTAGATAGTGCATTGTTTCTCTGGCATGAGAAACCAAAAGTGTAAAAAAGGACCAAAATGTATAATAGATACTGAGAAATGAAAATAAAATGGTTAAATGTGAAGGGAAACAAAGGAGGATGATGGAGGAAAGGAAAAAAGGGACAAGAAAAAGAAGGAGAAAATGGAAACAAAGCTTTTGTAAATGAGGGGAAGAGGGGTTGAAGGGAGGGCAGGCAAATGAGAAAAAAAACAAGAAGCAAGATATGTCATGTACAGATTCCCTATGATGAAAGTGATCATTATGTATATCTAAAATGTACCAATAAAAAAAA